TTCTCCGCTATCTCATCAAAGATCGAACATAATTCGCGATTGTTGGCTCGTAATTCATCCGCAAAAAAATTGCATATTCTACTTCGAAGGGCGTGTAGAATTTCTTTCATTGTATCGTTCACAGTACTGCAATCGATCTCGATCATATTTAACGGGATCTAAAAAAAACTAGCCAAATTATTTAAATTATCAATATATAAAACGCAATTATACAGGAAAATATAGCATAGCGTTATAAATCTTTTCTGGGAATTGATAAATAATATTATGTTAAATAAAAAGATTAAAAAACATTTTTTAAATAATAATTTTTCTATATTGTGTGTCAATGTGATGTAAAGAATTATTCCGAGGTTTTCCTATTAATTGTGACTGAATCATATACTTACTTTACATCGAAACATAGAAATCTCTTTTCGTAGAACGTCATACGCTTTTATCTGTTGTTCGAATTCTCGCAATAATGGTACTGGTTCGAGTTTAAAGAAATTGTCCAATTTTTTCTCGGCTACTCCGCTTGTAATATACAGCAAATTTTCGTAGCACTGGAGGTAATTATTAGGACCAGTCATATGCTTAGCAATTACATCTAAAACGTTGGTGATGATGCTCATTACCTATAATAATGTAATGGAAGGATTGTGCAATGAATTTATCGAATATTTGATATTTTCTCAGAATTTTTTTGAGAATATAAATATATATATAAAATTACCGTATCTTCGAATCGCGAAATAGGAAATAAGTGACCCGCATCCTTCAATTCCGGAAACAAAATAGTCTCAATCTTGGGTATCATAGTGCCTACCTTAATGATTTCGTTAAAACATAACGAGATTATGGTGTGCAACTTTAGAATGCTCGGTTTGCAGTGTAATTGTGTCGTGCCGAGTTCCGGTTCCACTTTTACTGTTATGAAAGGAGTGCTACAATATAATTTCTATTGTATTCGAATCCATCGTAACTAACGTCTAAAAGATAGTAATTTCGATTACACTCTGATATAAATATCAAAGAGGAATTGAACTTACTTGAGAAACATAAGATCCTTATAGTCTCCTTCGAAAGCATTGCCAGCATCATACTGCATAAAGAAGTCTTTCACGTCTTCTAGTGTCTTTATTATCATGATTCGCAATTGTTTTGACAATAAAGAATTGACGCTGCGAAAATATTTCTCGATCATCGCAGTGGACGCATCGGGCTGTGTTTCGAAATACTGCGACCAATCGTATTTCTTCTCGAGAAAGATTTCCGCCACATCGGCCAACCATTCTTTAATGAGAACATCAGTGGCGGCAACACACAGGGCATCGAGCCTTGGTTTAATTTCCGCGGCCAGAATAGGAAGCACGCCAAAATCTTGCATGTGAATTATTCTTACTTGACGATATCTAAAACGGAGAAAATTGTTAGCTCATATTTGACAATAAAAGCACAATATATCTGTATTTAAATTATTTAAATATCAGTAGAGCGGAAAGGTTAAATTTTGAAACTTTTGACTAGTCTCTCATATAATCTTACTTTGTAAACCATAAATCTCGGATATCTCTTAATATCTCATTGCCGATAAAAAGATTATGTTGTATGGAATGACTTGATATGACTTTGGACTGATGCCAGGGCACTGGTGCGCGAATACATAAAACAGGGAATTCAATAGGAACCGTTTCAATGCATAAACGTTTCCGTTCATCAGAATCCATTAAAATATAATCCACTATTGCGCTACGAAGACTTCGTTTATAGTCATCGATTATTTCCAGTTCCAAACCTTTCGTTATAGCGTCAAAGCTGTAAGAATTACATAAAAGTATTTTATAAATTCAGCGTTATCTGTAAAATTATTTTGTATTTTTAAAATCATTAACAATTATATTAATGTATTTGCATAGTTTAATGTTTAGTTATACAGAATATTCAATTTTTTTATTTTATATTATTAATAATTTTTAATTTTTATTTTTTATTTTACTGTTTATTTTCACATTCTGATAAAAATATAACACTGTGAATACACATGAACAAATCAGGAAATTAAACAAAATCAATATTAAAACTAGTAGTGAGTGACGTTTTAAAAATTCGAATTTAGAGACTATTTTTGAAATAAAATAGCATAGAAATAAATAAATACTAAGAGATATAGACTTACTCTTCACGTTCTTGCAATTTACCAATGATACGCTTCTTTGCCGCGTCAATATTAATGTAATCATATGGCTGCAGATGATGGTCGCTTATGCAATAATCTCTAAGATAAACTACTTTAGCAATATCCTCGGGTTTTATCCTCTGTTCCTCATCAACTATTGCCATTAACTCAGCTAATTGTTCTTCCACGGATTTTGGAATTTCTGCCTCGATATAACGTACCATCTACAATATGTGATGTTATTTTTCTTATATAAATTTGTTAGTTGAATTCGAAAATTAAAACATTCAAATTTTTTAATTCGAAGTACTTGTGAGATTTACACAAACGTTTCTTATTACCTTGCGATCTAATCTTTGCTTTGTTATCTTTCTCTTACGTACAGATAACTCTTTTTCCTTCAAGATTCTCGCCTTTTGATGTTTCTTCTGCAACCATGTGTCATCCACTAGATCCCTCAGACTCACTATATTTTCCGGCAAAGTATCACATTCCTTTTCGGCCAAGACTGCGGCTCTTCGTTTAACTTCTTCATTGTGTTGTTCAATAAAAATGCGAGGCGGACTCACGAGCACACCGTCGATTCCGAAAGGATGCCATCGTACAGGCTTGACACCGCGTCTAATTAAAGTTCTAGTTCGATATGAGTGCACACCAGGTGTGAAGATACTGCCTATACTGTCGGTAGGCTTCACATAACTATGCCAATATTTATACGGAACAGTTTTCGTCCACGAAGATTCTTGTATCAATTGCTGTTTCTCTGGAAATTGCAGCGCTTTTAATGTTCCTGACGACGAACAGTCCTTATGTTCCGCTATTGCACGAATCTTGTCCGAACTTTCACCTGTCTTCTTCCTTTCAGCCATTTGTGTCACTTAACTAAGTTAACATATTGAAAATACAAAGGCACTTTTTCTAATTGCAAATAATCATTAGCAAGTCTAGCCAAAAAAGACCTGCATTCTTATCATTATGTCATTGTTACTTCTAAAAAATGTACAAATAAGTTCTTGATGAAAAATTGATAGGATTACATTGATGCGCAATTAGTAGATTTAATTAAACAAGTATAATCAACAAAGGTAATGTCTCCTTAGCTCAAATCAACATGTTATATCTATCTATATTACGTAACTATGACGACGACATGGTGTGGAGACGGTGGAAATTATTGAAAGTGATCAGAAAAAAAACAAATTCATAGATTTATATTTATATTTTGTGTTAGTTTGATTATTCATAAGCAGAGAGTTTTAACAAACACAATTAATAGCCAATAGATCTTTATTAGAAGTATATAAGATGAACACAATTATGAAAAAGCTGACAACAGAATAATAATCGTAACGTAGCAACAAGACAGACGCATGTGCAGCTAAAGTCAAGTCATACCATTCATTCATTTATGCTAAGTATTTAGTATCTCAAGAGCGTATACCAACATTTCTCCTCTCGAACTTGAGATACTATAACAAATAAATCATGAACATTGATCAATTTATTATTAACATAAATTCATACCATTATTACAGAAATCATTTTTATCTTTAGTTACCGCTTTAGTTAATGAATCCGCAATCATATTCTCTGTAGATATATATTCTAAACTAATTGTCTTGTTCATTATAATCTCTTTTATAAAATTATATTTTGTATCTATGTGTTTTGATTTAGCATGATAGTGATTCGAATGTGCAAGCTTAATTGCACTCTGATTATCTGAGTATATTTT